GGGCGGGGACCGGACGCACGGTCGAGCGTGGCCTCAGCCGGGCCCTGGGTGCCGAGCCAGGGCCCAGGGTGCCCGCCCCGCCCCCACCCCAGGGTGCCTTTGAAGAGCAGAGGGGCTTTGATCAGGCCTGCCTGGCCAGATGCCCGGGAGGGGGTGGAGGGGCTGTGCCCCCACCCTCCTGCTTCCGGGAGTTGCAGGCCCCCGCCCCCGCCTCGCAGCTGCTCCCCAGCTGCCGCACTGAGACAGCTGGGAGGGAGGCTGGGGAGCGGCCCAGCTGCTCTGAGCTGGGCGGCAGCGACTTGAAAGAGCTGGGCGCGGTGGGGGCAGAGGAAGCCCCCCGTGGGCCCCCGCACATCTGGGCCACAGGAGCGTCACCCAGCCCTTCCTGGCAAGGGAGGCGCGATGGCCGGGGGGCGGTGAGGCTGTGGCGGCAAGTGCCTGCACCTGTGGGTGCTGCCAGCCCTCGGCGCCTTGGTTCGAGGGCGGGCAGGCCCCCAGCCCCTTCCTGAGGGACCCCCGTCCGGGCAGTTCCGGTTCCTCCTGGGTCTCCTCTGCCCCTGGCCCTCTAGGGAGACGGACAGCAGCTGGGCAGCCCAGGCCAGCTGGGCAAGTGGGCACCTCGAGGCCCCATGCCAGCCACGGGCCGCGGCCAGTCCCTCCGGCTGCGACCCCGGGTGAGCTTCAGAGATGGGTTGTGGGGCTGGAGCCCAGCCCACCCCTGCCGGGCCTCCCGACCGTCTCAGCGGGACCGACCCGCTCAGTGCGGCTCAGCCGCAAGGACACGGGGCCACGTGGGAAGGGCGTGGCCGCTTTCTGTCTCAGGGACGTCCAAGGGCTCTGCCTTGGGAGAAAGGACAGTGACAGGGGCAGGTGTGAGCGCAGGCAGGACCTGTTGGGCAGCCCTGCCTCTGCCGTCCCTGCTCCAGCCACGGGCTCCTCCTCCGGCCCCAGACAGGTGCGGGAAGCCAGGGAGGCCAGCTGCCCCAGCCACTCCCGGCGTGCTGCCAGACTGGGGAGGTGCCACGAGGCGAGGGCCCACCCAGCCACGTCACAACGTGGCTTTCTTTTTCTTTTTCTTTTTTGAGTCGGAGTCTCACTCCGTCGCCCAGACTGGAGTGCAGTGGCCGCTCCCGGCCCCCGCAGCCTCGACCCACTGGGCT